CACCACCCGCGGCTCCCTGGTCTGCTGGGGGGAAGGGCGTAGCTAGTGTGGGGCCTCGCCCCCCAGCAGACCAGGCTTTTCTCGGGGACGCCTGTGGTAGAGCAGCTGGGGCGCTGCTGGTTGGTCTCGCAGCGCCGCTCTCGGCGCTACTGGACCAACCTGGCAGCACCCCAGCTGCTGTGCCCCGGGCTTCCTGGAATCAGCCGCTGGTCAGTTTCATCAGCAGCTGAATCTGGACGCTAGTTCCGACTTACATACAGATTCAACTTAAGAACAAACCTACAGTCCCTATCTTGTATGTAACCCGGGGACTGCCTGTACCATATTTGGCATTTTGATTAGGATCCCAAGATTTTTTTTCTACATTTGTAAAAAGTCTAATGATATCTTCAGTGCCCACAGGTATTTAGACTGTCTGAACTTTTTTTTTTCTTTTTAAAACACCACCACTCCACCAGGACGTTCCCTGAACCCAATGCTAGGGAATTAATTACTATTGACTTTATGAAAGAATGCCACCTCCTGAATTGCTAGTACCAGTCTCCTCCACATGTAAGTGCTTCTTTTTTGGGGTGGGGAGAGAGAGGGCTCCCTGGCAAATATGGATCAGTTCCATGCTGAATTAATCTGAGGTCTGTCAGGATCATAATGCTATGACTTGGCTGCATGCAATAATGACTACCGGGGTTGCCACTTTGTTAGTTCATAAAAGCTACGGCTGGCAGCTATTTCTGCATCAAAATCAACCTGGCAAGTCACCTTTCCTTGACTAAGTCACCAACTAAGATATTTTTGCCTTCTCCCCCCGTTTACTTTACTTCTTATACATAGTACTGCCAAGTTGGTTTTTTTTTAAATCCCTATTACTCCAGCTTAACTTTATTTCTGGGAAGTATTGATTCCTTTGTTTATACATAAAATTAATAGTTCCAAAATAATGGATGAGAAGTACTGCTCTTTCCTGAAATGGAGGAATATAGATAGGTCAACAGAGACTGGAAGCAGAAAGAAGATATAATATAGAGGCCTATTGTTATGATTTTATTTCTGTACTTGGAATAGAGGAAAGGAGAACAGAAGGAAACTGAAAGGAGATCTTTGAGGCGAACTACCGGTTCAGAAATCATATTAGCAAGTGGGGGGTTTTATTTGGTGATTATGTAATAGAGCTTTCTTCCCTTCTGATTCTTTCTGTGTATCTTAAGTATGTCTAGAATGCATCTAGAATGCAGCAGTAACCTAGATGCTAAACACAGTAATGTAGATTAGTAAAGGGGACACTGTTAGTAGATCACACTCGTCTATTGTTCTCTTCCCCCATTCTCCATTCTTTTCCTCTTCCCTCTCACCGTTTTTCACTCATACAGATTTTCCATTTTGGCAGATAAGTCTTACTAAGATCTTCTGTGCTATGCAGCCCTTTCTCATTGTGTGCTCTTTCAGAAGGCAGAAATCCCACGAATGACCGACAAGAGGTGCTTCTTCCACCATGGCTCAGTCAGGGCAACTAGGGACAAGTCCATCTACCAGTAGAAGCTTCCAAGTAAAAGTTGAATTCAGATCTCCCTGAAAGACATAGCTCATTCTTAAGGGTGGGCCCCAGACTTGTTGATCCACTTGCAGTTTTTGCCTTGTTGAGTAGCCATGATTATTTTCACCCTTTCCATTCTACTGGTTTCCCTCAGTTTATACTTTTTTATTCTTTTATATTAATTATTTTGAAGTCAAAGTTGCTGTCTGTAAAAGTAGCTGAAGAAGGAGAGACCAATAGCCTGGAAAATAAGTTGGGCTTGGCAGAGGAATGTAAGTTTGTCTGAGTCACCAGGTAAATAGTAAGTGCACTTATTTTCAGTTTTACACCTCTAGTCTACACCGGGGTTTGAAAAACCCACCTCTGCTTTTTATAGTTGCATTGCTCCCTGTTGTCTGTACATGGCTATCACTGATGTTATTATTGAATGATAATATTATTGGATATTTAAAACTAATAAAATAAAGTTCTTCTTCACACAACACATAGTCAAGCTGTGGAACTCCTTGCCAGAGGAGGCTGTGAAGGCTAGGACTATAACAGAGTTTAAAGAGAAGCTAGATAATTTCATGGAGGTTAGGTCCATAAAAGGCTATTAGCCAGGGGATAGAAATGGTGTCCCTGGCCTCTGTCAGAGGGTGGAGATGGCACGAGATAAATCACTTGGTCATTGTCTTCGGTCCACCGCCTCTGGGGCAACCTTTTCTGACATTGGTAAACCTCATTCCACAAGGAATAAGGCCTCTTCCGAAATAGCTATTTTGGAAGAAGGCATGTGTGGTTGCGGCACAGGGAGTTTTGTTGGAAAAAAAGGGGCCTCAAGGAAATCCACAGGTGCCCTGCTGGCCACTCCATCCATACTCCTCAGAACCCTGTGCATCAGGACGGTTCCTCTTCCTCTGCATCTCCTAAAGCTGCAGACACAGGGGAAAGCACTTATGGCAGGAAGCTGGCCCTCCAGCCACCCCACAGCTGCCAGTACCTGACATCTGGATATCATGGCAGACCCCCAAGCTCCCCAAGAGCCCTCTGCCCATCCCAGGGAGCATGCAGAGGGCTCCCAGGAGCTGCGAAAGGTGCATGCTGTCCTAGTCTGGGGCAGAGATCCCGGCCCTCATCGAGGTGCGGGGTGAGGAGGAGAACCTGCAGGATCTCCGCTCCAGATGGTGTATCGCTGACATATATGGCCAGATGGCCCAATAGCCTGGCCACCAAGGGCCATACCCAGACCCAGGAACAGATGAAAGCTCTGCCAGGCCTATGCCAGAGCAGGGGAGAACAGCTCATGCTCCGGGGCAGAACCCCACTCCTGCCCCTATTAAGAGGACCTGCACCACATCGTGGGGGGTGTTGCACCCCTTCCCCACTCCACTTGACGCTGGAGACACCCAGTGTCACCTACCCAGGGGTCCCAGCCGAAGAGAAGGAGGACGTGGCCAGCGTGGTGACCATGCTCACGCTGGAGCCATTACGCCATGGTTTGGATGTGTCCCAGGCATCCTCTGAGGCCGGGGAAGGATCATCAGGTGAGTGGTCTTAGTTTTCTCACGCAGACAGGGTGGGAATGGTGGGCACTGAGGGGCTGTGGTGTGATCGTCACTTGGCCGCCTCAACCTGGGCATCGCGCTGCAATCTGTA